ACATTGCTGCTCTGGATCACTTATGCCCCATATATATCTGACATATGGCCAGTTAAACATTGTATGGAATGGTGGGACGTATTGTGCAGTGGCTATGCAGTGGCTATGCAGTGGATGTGCAGTGAATGTGGGGCTCCTTGCCATGCTTAGCTGGTGATAATGGAGAAGAGGGCTCAGGCTGCTTCCCTTGCGGCTCATGCCTAGCTTAGTGTCCGCTCTTAGGAGCCTAGTCTGCGGCTGAGTGAATTGAAAATGTCCCGGAAACAGCGACCCCCGCTGGCCGTGCGCAGGTTAGCAGCCGAGGCTCAGCGCAGCAGCAAGCTCCGCTGACAGAAGGGGAGACCAGGGGGAGCCTCGGCTGGCCGATCTCCGCTCCAGACTCGGGCTCAAGGCATTTTACAGTGACCCCTCAACATCTGCCTGGGTGGGGAAGGGAGGAGGGAATCCCTAACGCAATCCCTACGGCTCTGATCGCTTGTTCTAGCCATAGGGGAAAACAGAAACGCCCAGTTTTAACGGTCAGAGATGGGGGGATCTGCAAAAATTCTAATCTCTTTTTTTCCCTGTCTTTTTTTTCTGCTTCCCGATGTCACTAAAAATTGACTTGATTTGTAATCTGCTTTCACATGATCTCTGAATCCTCAGTGCACCTTATGGAGGCAGATCACAGCATGCAAAAAAGGCTGACACAGCAAAAAAAAAAGTCTCGAATAAAGAAAAAAGACTTTTACAAAATATACTACAGATTGCAATAAAAATAAACAGTGATCAATGTTGGGGGGTAAAAAAGCAGCTGCAGCCTCCCTGTAACTGAGTGCCTGCAGAGCTAAGCTGTGTCAGATCATCTCATCACACATCTGCATTGCCCCCCATTCTGAATATTGATATAATATATCATTTATAGTCTAAACAAGTCACAGTAAGAAAAAAAAAAAAACAAAATCCAATATAAAGGGCTGGAAAACAGGAGAGATGTTGGTGCTGCTGCATCTGTTTATGCACATTGCACTGTTCTGATCCCCACAGTAAACTCTCTCTTTTTTTCTTCAAAGGTAAAAAGTATAAAGAAGAATGAAAGAAAATGAAAATAATTGTGCAAAAAAAAGAATGAAAAGTTGCAAAATGAACTTACCAGACATTGGAGAAAAGAAATGGAGATTTTGCTGAATGGAAATGAAAATTCTCCCTGTGATATGCTGTGTGACAGCCCCAGCACCTCTCCTAGAAGAGGGAAAATAGGGTGCAAGAGGAGAAATTCTTCAAAGTTCATCAAATCAACCAAGTCCCTGGCCTCAAATCCCCACTGCAGATATACAATACAAATGTATTATACCTACAGATATATGATTGAAATTTATCCCCACCATGCCATCTATTTAAAAACTCCAGAAACCAATGATTTGACAATCAATGATTGCGCGATAGTTTCAATTTGAATATTCAAAGCCCTAACAAAAAGACAGATCTTTTTTTGAAACAAAGCACTTCTCCATAGAACTGAGGGTCTTTGGGAATAAGATTTGATGTCACTCCCTCCCACTCTCCCTTTTTTTTCGAATTTTTGCAACTTTTTATGCCACTTTCCCCAAAATTTAGCTGTCACTTCACTAAGGAGCCCAGAAATTGCAGGGCTGGGAGAAGCAGATGGCCAGCGAGCTGTTCACTTGTCAGAAGGGATGGGGAAGGATCTGTTGGGGCAGTGGGATGATTTTGGGGGGTCGTGTTGGGCTGATTTGGGGGGATTTTGGGTTATAGATCTGGGATATGCCATGCAGGGGGTGTGGCAGCTGAGCACACAGCAAGTCGGTGTGTCAGAAGTACAGGCCAGGCGCCTCTGCTCTGCTACAGCCCTGTATGTCAGCTCTGCACGAGGTGATACACTCATCCAAAGTCACGAAATTACACAAAAAACACCTTTTTCTTATTTTATACAAAATGCTTATTGCACTGTATTCTTCATTTATTAAACAAAGGGAAACAAAAGCAGTTAGCAAGGGAAATGGAATCACAGGCACATGCAACACACAGACACATTTATGTATTGTGCATTTATCACATTTTCACTGTTTCATTATTGCTTGCTTTTTATGTAAACTGTTTTTAGGAACGTTGTTGCTACATAGACATTCACTAGGCAGTCTCCGCTCAATGTGAACATTCGCACCCATATTAGCGAAAGACTGTTCTTGTCATCTGAGCTCTGCAGGGGGGACTGCTGCATTGCTACACTGCTCCATGATCAGAAAAAGCAGAATAGAACCAAAAAATACCCCAAACAAACAAAACAAACAAACAAACAAACAAACCTTTTTTGTCATGTTTTAAAGGATGCTACAAAACAAGCAGTTATACAGCAGCAAAAAGATAATCAAAAGCACTATATGTATATATATATATATATATATATATATATATATGTATGTATGTATATATATATATGATAACCTTTTCCCTGTTGTATAACTGTTTTTCTTTATATATGTATGGGAATATATATATATATATATATATATATATATATATATATATATATATTTTTTTTTTTTTTTTTTTAAATCACATTTTTACGGTTGCATAATTATTTGCACTCCTCTAAATATTATCTTTTGCATCTATAGTAAACGAACGTCTTTGCAATTATTTATATATATATATATATATATATATATATATATATATGTCATATATGTTTGTAGACCTCTTCTGCATATGAAACTTCCCTGTATATGTGTTATATATATGTGTGCATACAATGTGTAGCTATATTACAGTGCCTGTCCTTACATGCAAACATTTATATTGGCTATACTGTAATATATATATATATATATATATATATATATATATATATATATAGTCATCTACAGATCTACAGAGTCGTATTGATGAGAATGGATGAGATATATGACCCTGTCTTTGTGGACATATATATATATAGAGAGCGAGATGTATATAGACATATACAGGGTCGTATTGATGAGAGCATATGTACAACGTATAAGCATACAAAACACTGATGTATATGTGTACAAAGATATGTGTGTTATATATGTGTATATACATCATACATATTTGTACAACTCTTCTGTATATGAAACTTCCCTCTATATGTGTTATATATATACATATAATGTGTAGCTGTATTACAGTGCCTGTCCTTATATGCAAACATTTATGTTGGTTATACTGTATTATATTATATATATATATATATATATATCTATATTATATATATAAGAAAATTGGATTGCTGCACATATATGTGTTCTGATCTGAAGAAGAGCGTTGACATAATAGCCCGAAACTGTTGTTTGAACTCTATAATGTATGGCTTTGTCCATTTTTTGGATCACCCTTTTGTATGGTGATTTTTTTCAAGAATAAACGTTTTTTTCTGTGCAGCAATCCAATTTTCTTTTTTCTATATACGGTCTTTGGGAGAACCTGATTGCTGATTGGTATGCACTGTGATTGATCATCGTTGTGCACTCCACCCATATTACTGCTTTATATATATATCTTATATATATATATGTATATATGTATGTGTACATAATGTATAGCTATAATGAAATGCCTGTCCTGCTATGCAAACCTTTATAATGATTATCGGTTATATTTTATATAGCCTTCTACAGAAAAATCATATAATATATATATATATACTTTTATTTGGGACCTTTGTATATATAGCCATCTACAGGGTCGTATGGATAAGAGCATATATACAATTCATATGTATATAAATTTTGGGTGTATATGTGAGCAGCATAAAAGTGTGGGTGTACGATATATATATATATAGCTGTACATCGTATTATTATTATTTTTACTCTACAGTGGAAATTGTTCTAATTTAACCCTCATATTGGATGTATAGTCCTGATATATATATATATGTGACTAAACAACCAATATAAAGGTTAATATACAACAGTTCCCAATACAGAGTAGTATTTAGGATAATAATGATGATAAATATGTAGCTATATCAAAAGTACACGTTTATGCTGTAGACATTTCCAGCCGAGATTTATGTCCATCTGGCTGCTGATTGACGATTCGCAGTGTATGCTGACACCACCCTGCACACTGTGGCCCGATCACTATGTCCTTGTATATGGTCGGCCTTGCGTGTTTTTTGCTGCACCTCTGCAGGACATTTGCATTCATAATCATAGGAAGGTGAAAGTGATGGCAGGAGGTGGGAAGGGGTGCAGCTGTCAGCTGTGCAGATAATGTGAATGGCCATGTCCAGAGAGGTGGACATTTTTAACTTCTTTTACTTTAGGTTTTTTTTTTATTATTATTTTTACTTCTATAGGATTTAAACACCTATAACTAAACCAATTCGTTTAAACATTTCATCACTTTCCACAAAGCTTTTATTTGGGTTAAAAAGCAAAAAAGGAAAGTCCATAGATAGTTAGCTTATACATAGGAGCCCCATAGATCACTGTGTGTAGGGACATACGGCGTTTAGGGACATACAATGTGTAGGGACATACAATGTGTAGGGACATACAATGTGTAGGGACATACGGCGTGTAGGGACATACAATGTGTAGGGACATACAATGTGCAGAGAAATACAATGTGTAGAGACATACAATGTGTAGAGACATACAATGTGTAGGGACACACAGCTTGTAGGGACATACAATGTGTAGGGACATACAATGTGTAGAGACATACAATGTGTAGGGACACACAGCTTGTAGGGACATACAATGTGTAAGGACATACAATGTGTGGGGACATACTGCGTGTAGGGACATACAATGTGTAAGGACATACAATGTGTAGGGACACATGGCATGTAGGGACATACAATGTGTAGGGACATACAATGTGTAGAGACATACAATGTGTAGGGACACACAGCTTGTAGGGACATACAATGTGTAAGGACATACAATGTGTAGTGACACACAGCTTGTAGGGACATACAATGAGTAAGGACATACAATGTGTAGGGACAAACAATGTGTAGGGACATACAATGTGTAGGGACACACGGTGTGTAAGGACACATGGCATGTAGGGACATGCAATGTGTAGGGACATACAATGTGTAGGGACACATGGCATGTAGGGACATACAATGTGTAGAAATTCTGAAGGACCCTCTGCACACTGGTATATACCCTTTCAAGCATGTGTAGGGACACACGCAGGGGCGGGCGGACTGACCATTTGGAAAAACTCAGGCACTGCCCGAGGGCCCGGGGTCAGTAGGAGGCCCCATGGGATGCCCCTGGTAACTTTTTCATAGGCTTTTTTGAGTTTGGGCAAGGACACAGGGGCCCCATGATCCCCTATTGCCCTGGGGCCCCATGAGTTGTCAGTCCGCCCCTGGACACACGGCATGTAGGGACATGCAATATGTAGGGACACATGGCGTGTAGGGACATACAATGTGTAGGGACACACGGCGTGTTGTAGGGACATACAATGTGTAGGGACACACGGCGTGTAGGGACATACAATGTGTAGGGACACACGGTGTGTAGGGACATACAATGTGTAGGGACACACGGCATGTAGGGACATACAATGTGTAGGGACACACGGCGTGTAGGGACATGCAATGTGTAGGGACACACGGCGTGTAGGGACATACAATGTGTAGGGACACACGGCGTGTAGGGACATACAATGTGTAGGGACACACGGCGTGTAGGGACATACAATGTGTAGGGACACACGGCGTGTAGGGACATACAATGTGTAGAAACATACGGAGTGCAGGAACATACAATGTGTAGGGACATACAATGTGTAGGGACACACGGTGTGTAGGGGGACATACAATGTGTAGGGACACACGGCGTGTAGGGACATACAATGTGTAGGGACATACAATGTGTAGGGACATACGGCGTGCAGGAACATACAATGTGTAGGGACATACAATGTGTAGGGACATACAATGTGTAGGGACATACGGCGTGCAGGAACATACAATGTGTAGGAACATACAATGTGTAGGAACATACAATGTGTAGGGACACACGGCGTGTAGGGACATACAATGTGTAGGGACATACAATGTGTAGGGACACACGGCGTGTAGGGACATACAATGTGTAGGGACATACAATGTGTAGGGACACACGGCGTGCAGGAACATACAATGTGTAGGAACATACAATGTGTAGGAACATACAATGTGTAGGGACATAGGACTTGGAGTTGTGTATTTCAGGGCAATGTCTTTTTGAAGGTTATTATGTGGAAGTTATAAATACGGTTACAGCGCCACCTGCTGTTAGGAAAAAAATATTTTTTCAACAGTAAAGCTCTGGCAGATCTTCAATGTAAAAGGACATCAAGAGAGGACTGGGTAGGATGCTACTGCCAACATTCATCTGAAAATGCAAGCTGCCTGGCTTTCTTTTGCTTTAGTGATTTCTTTGGCACAGACTCGGAACAGACATGCAGCAATTTTTTTTTTCTGATTTAAATACTTGTCTAAAGTAACATTAAACTCTGGATTACAAAAAAAGGTTTGTTTTCCTAACTCAGAAAAGAACTCCTATTCCTATCAGTCTCCCCATAATTTCCAAATCCCTTTTTCTGCTGCCCTTTTAAGGGGGTGACTACGTTCATCCTCCATGGTCCCACTGTATGTAGGAACATAGCCGCCCTCTCTTGCTCACACCTACGATGGACTAGAGACTATGGATAATGAACTATGGAATTTGTAGTGTGCATAGTGCAGTGCACATGATGGAAACTAACAATCCAAACAAAAATAAAACGAGGGGGAAAATTATAGGATCAGGAGCTCACAAAGGATGTGAGGAGGCAGAAAAACATCATAAGAAACAATTTTAAAAGTAGATTAAAGGGCTATTAAGTGTATGTAAGTATTTTGCAGAATAATGATAACATTTAGTGTCACTTTAAAAGGTCAGTGACTGAGAACATAATGAAGCAATTGAGTTAGTGTAACAGCCAGAAAAAATAGTATGTTCAGGAGAAGAGATTGGTAAATATTCTATATTGTCTTTACTATATTTTCTTTACTATAGGCTCCATGTAACATACTTTCTTAAAGTGGTGGGCCCTAATAGAGTGTATAATATATTGTATTCAATGATCCCCCACTTCCTCCCCGTCACACTACCAGCTCACCAAAGCCACTCCTCTGCTCCAGTCCTGTGGTCTTTCCCAAAAACCAACATCAGCATGTGCAATGCAGGACTAGGGGCCTCCTTCATTGGAGATGGTGATAGTAAGGCCCCACCAACATTCCTGGGCAGGAGAGAAGAAGACTGGATTATTGTGGCAACGGGACCAAGGTGTAAGGTGAGGATTGCTCTCTAACACATGACCCTTAGACTAAATAAACAGTATATGCTCAATGGGATGGAATCATCAAAGGGAAATAGACTGTTCACTTTGGAAGGGAATTTTCCCCAGAGCTTAGTGATTTTGGGTGTCCATTTATCAAGCAGCGGTAAATGACCGATGTTATGTTCTCTGGCATTCTCAGAGGAGAAAGATTTCCTCTGAGTGCCTATTTATGAAATGGAGTAGATCTCCTAATGATGAAAGAAGTGTTTTACAAATGCATTGAACTCTGGAAAATGGCTGTTGTTGCTGTAATCTCACGAGATATAGCAAGATTACAGTAACAAGAGGTCAGTAAAACACACAGCTGTCAGTTTATTAAACAGTGGTAAATGGGGGCTCTCCTCAGTACACAAGTACACAATAATGAAAACAATAATATACATATATATATATATATATATATATATATATATATTTATATATAGTTTTGTATATGTATACATACACACACATATATCTAACATATATATATATATAAATATATATATATACATATACAAACACAAATATATTTATGAACTGCTCTAGGGTTTTGGGAGTGTTGTGAAGAAAGTCCAAAACTTCCTCCCTCTTCCTCAGAACTCCAGGGTTCTCCCTTCTCTCCCCGATTTTCCACCTCTGGGCTGGAGAATCTGGGAGGGAGAATTTTACCCACATGACCAGTGAAGGGCTGAGATCGCTCCTTCATAAACTGACCGTTTCTGTGTCTATCGATTGCAGATTCTCTGTGTGCAGAGAAGATCAACAGAGAACATGTTCTTTGCTGATCTTCCCTGTTTCATAAACCACTAATGTACTGAAATCAGCAGCGATCCTTAAGATTGTTGCTAATCTCAGTTTCCTAAATGGACACCTTGGTGAAGCTTTGCTAACTTCCATCATCCAATCTTGTGCACCTTGCAGGTATTTGGATATTCTTTGCAAAGTGAAATTTCATCACAATCACAAATTCCTCTGCAAAATTCAACTTTCCTTGCAAAGTGAACAGCCTATTTCCCTTTACCACTTCAAGTCCGGACACTTTTACCCCCTTCCTGTCCAGGCCAATTTTCAGCTTTCAGCGCTATCACACTTTGAATGACAATTGCTCAGTCATGCAACACTGTACCCATATGAATGTTTTAGCATTTTTTTTTTTGAGACAGATAAAACTTTATTGTGGTGGTATTTATTCACCACTGGGATTTTAATAAATGAAAACGTCCAAAAATTTTGAAAAAAAAGTGTGTTTTTCTTATAACATTTTGCAAATAAATAATCTTTCTTCATAAATCTTGGCCAAAATGTATTTGGTTATCTTTTTAGTAAAAAAAAAAATAACAAAAAATTATAATTTTTTTTTAAATGTTTTAATTTTTTTTTACATTCTTTTATATTATTATTTATGGGTTTTTTTTTTTTAACATACTGTTACCCTAGCAGTACAGTGTCACCATAGTGACACTGTAATACTTGTGGGGGGTGAAGATTTTTTTTTCTTTCTTTACACTGATTACTTTTACACCCATAAAGGCTGTAAAAGCAATCATTTCTCCTTCTCTCTGGCTGCATTCTTGTAGCCACTGAGAAATACTGTGTGAGCTGTGATTGGTCACAGATTGTCACATGGTACAAGACTGTTGTGAATAGCCTTGTACCATGTGAATAGCCTTGTATCATTCACAGATTTCTCTAGTAGTAAGCAATGATGTCAGGAAGTGACATCTTGCTTACTAATAGTCATGCGATCGCTGATTGGCCAATCAGTGATCACATGATCGGGATCCCAGTGTTCCCAGGGAGCGTGCACAGCTTCAAAATGCAGGCGCCATTTATGAACGGCAACCCACTCCTGCACTGCTCCTGTTCAGCCGTTTATGTACTTGGGCCGGACGGGTCAACTCCAATATATAAGGCAATGGGATGGCAGGGGGTGCCACTATTTATGTTTGCAAACAGTACTTAGTTGGGCTTTATTTCAGTTATTAACAATGACCAATTAGATAATATGTACCATTTTTACTGTTGTGATGTTTTCTTTTAGCTTTTCCAGGAAATGCAATCATTGCTATGACAGTTCAGTAACATTGTACAGATTGTAGATATAGAAAAATATGCATGTAAAGTTATGTTTGCCAATAAAACAGAGGAAAAAGAAGCTTTATAATCATCGTAACTGAAATATGCCAGTAAAACGATTGGAGCAGTATTTGCGGGTTTCATGTCATGTGTGTCTATTAACCAAGTCATAAAAAACTAAGGGGAAACTAAGATTACAGATACAGATTACAGTAAAATCTTAACTTTTGAGTTTATATAATAAAAGAACAAATTTTAAGAAGTGGAAACTGCACTAATTTTTCAACATATTCCCCTGCTACATTTATACACCTATCCCAGCGTTTAACTACTGCCTGGAAAGCTACGGCACAGAAAGATTTGTCAGTATGCCTGAACTATCCAAGGACAGCTTGCTTCAATTCGTCATGAGTGCTGAAATGCTGACCACAGAAAGATTCGTCTCTCGTACAATTTCACAACAGGTTATGCATTGATCTAGGATCAGGCGTTCCATGTGCTGAATGTTCCCAGGAATGACTGCTGTGGGCTGGGAACGACCACCAGGACCGGGATCATCACTGATGAATGGACGGCCATCTTTGAAAAGTTTACACCATTCAAATGTCTTATTGTACTGTACTTGAAGTCTTCTGTAGATATCCGTGGGTTTTATGCCTTTGTTCACAACAAACTTCATCACCACACGTTGTTCCATGCACGCACTAACACTGTTGTCTGCCATCTTGATTAACGGTCTTTGGACTGGCCTGCGACATGTGAGCAGCCACCGCAAGCATCCCTTTTTATACCTATAAAATGAAAAGTCACTGTTTGACTTGAAAGCCTCTTGTATATAATAAAATAGAGAGAGTCACTCCTGCCATGTCAAGGATAAATAATTGCTCAGAGATCACATCAACAGCGGGCTCTCAATCCAC